GAGGTCATAATTGGAAATGGACCCTTCCTGGCAACCAGAGGGGAGAAGAGCAGAGAATGCTACTGGGCCTTGCCCTTCCTTACAAATCCCATGTAATTGGGAATAGTTTAGAGCAGGGTTTCTCTCTTTCTCTGAGCTCCCCTCTCCGCCCCTAACATTATAAAAGTCCATAGCCCACCTGGCTTTCTGCTGATCCAGTGGATGAAAAGCCATGCTCAATGGAGAGTTACATAGCACACACACTCTTAGGCTACGTCTACACTGGCCCCTTTTCCGAAAGGGGCATGCTAATTTTACAGGTCGTAATAGGGAAATCCACGGGGGATTTAAATATCCCCCGCGGCATTTAAATAAAAATGTCCGCCGCTTTTTTCCGGCTTTTAGAAAAGCCGGAAAAGAGCATCTACACTGGCCCCGATCCTCTGGAAAAAAGCCCTTTTCCGGAGGATCTCTTATTCAGTGTAGACGCAGCCTTACAATATACATGCATCTGACGAAGTGGGTCTTTGCCCACGAAAGCTTATGCTCCTACACTTCAGTTAGTCTATAAGGTGCCACAGGACTCCTCGTCGCTTTTGCAGATTCAGACTAACACGGCTGCCCCTCTGATACCTTACAATATACACACGCATAAGATAGGCACAGAAATCAAAAGCAGCCAACGACAGGAAACCCTCGTCATTTGCAGTGGATGTGTTCTGGGCCCTGTGACTACGCAGTACTGTGAAGAGCGAGTCTGTGACTACCAAGGGGTTCCTGTATTATTTTTGTTTTACTGCATGCGCACCCCCGGCTGCGTGGCCCAGAGCTGAGTCGCAGTACTGACAGCTCTCCTTCCCCAAGCCCTGCCACCCAGGGCTGCCGCCAGGTTTATTGTGGCAGACCTCCTGAAACTGACGCATGGAGGTCCACGAGTCCTACAGAGCCCTGGCTAAAAACCACTGGGTTAGCACCTGATTCAGTTACTCTGACATGGGTCAGTGGCCCCGTGTTCCCCGTGACGGCAGCAGACTAGTTGGAGGAGAAAGGAACCATCCCTCGGGGGTAAGAGGATCAGACTCTGGCCCCGTTGTGAAGATGGCTGGGCTAAGATGTCTCGTCTGCAAGCTGGAGACCGGTTCCCGGAGGGGAATGGAGAATTGAGCCTCCCCTGTGGGGTTGGATTTTACACGTCGGTGTTGCAGAAATGTTGCCGCCTTGCCTGTGTCTGCCAGGTGACTAGGAGCCCTTTGAGATTCCGCTTCAACGTCCTCCCGGGCTTGCAAACTGATTTCTAGCGTGGCGCTCGCTTCTGTGGAGACGTTGCCTCGTCGCTCCCTCCCCATCTATTCGTGGCCCCTCGGCTCCCTGGGAACAGCCACAGCTGCAGCCAGGGCCAAGTACCATGGGGGAAGTGGTAGGGGTGTAATCGGGTAGTCAATTAACTGATCAGCAAAAGCTGCTGGGTTAATGCCCCAGACTACACGCAGAGACCCCACCAGGATGTTTTTTAGCAGCCTGGCTCAGTCCTGGCTTGCGACGGGTCCGGGACCCACCCCTGCTGCGGCTCCGCATTTAAAGCATGTTCAGAGCCAGGTGGAGTTCTGGTTTGCACCGAATCCGGGAGCTCAGACCCTCCCCAGACAGGCTGCTGCCGCCCTGTTAGAGCAGCAGCGCAGGACAACAGGCAGCCGGTCCCCAAGGGGAGCTGGTTTTTAAACTGGCTCCTCTCCTGGACTAGCTCTGGCCTGGCACCCCACCTATCAGAGGCAGCAGTGAGGAGTGATGGGGCTCCTCAGGAGTGAGGCCGGCGCGCACTGGCTGCTGGCCCTGCCCCCGGGGACTAGAATAGTCGACTACCCAATAATTCATGAGGTTACTCGACTACTCAACTAACCACTATTTAACATCCCTGAGAAGTATTAAAAACACTAGAAAGACAGGAAGCGCGCTGGAGATCAGATGGGGGTGGAGGGGCCTTTTCTTCACTTCCTTCTGGGCCCTGAGGATTCCTTTCTCTTTCCTCTGCCGGCAGCTGGGATGAGTCTTGCCATGCTGCCGGCTCTCACGGCCTGAAAACGACTTGGATGCCTGTCTGACCTCAGGCAGGTTTAATCTGGCTGTGGAGAGATGCAGCTAAGAGACCATTACAGTGCTCTAGTCTGACCACCTCTGGTGGCTTAATTTTGGAGATGTACCCATTTTACAGATGGGAAAACTGAGGCATGGAAGAGGGCAGTGACTTGCCTGAGGTCACCCAGCTAGTGGCAGAGCCAGGAATGAAACTCGGATCTCTTGAGTGTGTGTCGAGTGATTTAGCCACACTGCCTTTCTGCTCTCTCAAATGCTGTGAATCCACTCTCCAGAGGCTTGAATTCACATAAGGCACAGCTAGTTGAATTCCCCCCTGTGCCTGGCTGCTGTGGCCATGCACTAAGGTGCTGCCTCATGGCCTAGCAGGGGGCAAGTTGTCTTTAAAACACAAAGCATTCTCCTTGCTTGCTGTTCGCCCACTCCCCGGCCGGTCTGTACCCCTTTGCCTCCAGCAGTCCCCCTCAGTTCTCATTGCAATTAAGCCCAGTTCCAGGTGGTGTCTTTACTGCTCTGTCATCCAAGACGAGGAGCTGGCCAATGACGTGTCAGAGACCGGGAGCCTCCCGGGCAGCGAGATATTTGGGATTCCTCGTAGCATCCTCCTGCCGGAGGCCTGGTGTGTGTCAGTGCCTGGATTCCATTCCGCCGGTTGCAGGATGCCAAGTGCGAGTGAGCCTGGGAGCTTGATTGGCTGCGCTGGCCGACTGTTTCCTTATTAGGCTTTGGTCCCAGGACAGCCGGGCTCCGGGGCTGCGCTCTTCAGCGTTCGGAGCTGGATTTTAAACAAGAGACTCTCTTGGAGGCGTTAAAACTCCTGTTAAGGATGAAATGGCCCTTGGAAGGGGCCATGTCTCCACTGGGCCATGCAGTGTTTAGCCTTGGGGGTTATAAGGCTGCTCTCAAACAGATCCTCTCGGTTGCCCTCAAATTGTCGTCCTTCCCCTTGCGGCTACGCACCGGAATCCCCGCTTCCTGTGGGACTGGGACGTTCCCAGCCTGCTGGCTCGAGGCTCTGGAGCCGCCCTGGGAGGGATCCAGTCTGCCCCGTGCCTTCGGCTAGCCCAGCGCTGCTGCTGCTAACGCTCCAGGGGATGAGGACACAGTGGGCTGAAATCTAAAAGCTACTTGACCTGAGTCAGTGGCAGGGATGTTTATGGTGATGGTTTAAGTGGGCTCCAGAAAACCTCCAATGGGCGGGGCAGCTCTTTTGTAGAGGAGAACAGCTTTAAAGAACTTGGTGGCAATGTAGCCTAGTGGCCAAGGCAGCGTACTAGGACACATAGGCTAGGTCTACACTCGCGGCTTCTTGCCAGGGCCGCATTACGACTTTCGTGGGCCCTTTCCTCCATAAAAAAAAAATTAACAATTATTTTTTATAGAACTTTAAATACTTCAACTTTTTTTTTTCTGTTTTAGGCACAATTTAATAGATTTTCGTGGGCCCTAAAAGTTTCATTTTTTTCTGATGTGAGAAAAAAATTAAAACATTTTCTTTGACCCTAAAAATTCGGTTTTTTCTTCTTCTGATTTTAAAAGAAATTAAAACATTTTCGTGGGCCCCTAAAAGTATCATGGGCCCTAGGCACTGTGCCTGCTGTACCTAATGGATAAGTCGGCCCTGCCTCTTGCGCCATAAATTTGCAAATGAGGCAGTGTGGAACTGCAATAAAATCCCTCTTGCGCAATGCCGTTATTCCTGAAAATAATCGGTGTAACGGCATTGCGCAAGAAGGGGGAGGGTAGACAGCACCTTCTGGCGCAAGAGCCTCTTCTGCAAAAATGGCGGCTTGTTAGGTATGCAAATGAGGCTCGGCGATATTCCACGCTTAGCCTCATTTGCATATTTCTGGCACAAGAAGCTGCGAGTGTAGACATAGCCGTAGGGTCTATTCCTGGCTCTGCTACTGATGGATCGTGTCACCTTGGGCAGATTTCTTCAGTCTCCGTGGTTCTTTCGCCTCCTACCTTTTGTAGGGTTGCCAGGTGTCTGGTTTTGAACTTTCTGTTCGGGAAACATTGAGAAAATAGAACTGTCCGGTATTTTCTACATAAGATGTAATGCAGATTGTGATGTCATGTCAAGTGTGTCCGGTATTTTTGTTGAAACCATCTGGCCACCCTAACCCTTTGTTCTTGTTGCTTTAGCTCCTATGGTCTGTAGGGCAGGGACTGTCTCTGTACGGCATGGGTCCCTGATCTCAGTGGAGCCTCTAGGTCATACAATGTTCTTGCTCAATTTAAGAGGCGACTTGGTAACACAAGCCCAGGTTAGTTTCCGAAGGTGGATGTTTCTGGGCGTTTTGGGGGTGGGAAACCAGTGTCACACTGGATCAGGTCTGGCTGCTGGAAAGGGAAGGAGACGAGAGATCACCCTGGACTTGCTTATGGGGGTCAGTGGTGTAGACCATCGTTATTCTTTGTCTGATGACTGCCAAAGCCAGAGCAGAGGTCCTCCTTTAATTCTTTACTCTCCAAATTCACATCAGTGCTCCATTAACTTGCCTGGGATTGATGTCAGGCTGATTTTTCTATGATTATCTGGAAAGTCCTGTTTGTTCTTTTTTAAAATTGACACATTAGATTTCTGTAACTTCCCTATGCTCCAATTTTTATTGAAAATCCACATTAACAGTCCATCAATCTCCTTAGCCAGCTCTTTTTTCATGTCATTTTTTAGA